AGCTTGGCACAGTCACCCAGGGGCTGGTACCTACTGAACGTCTCACCTGCGTCATCCTGCTCCCCCTGTGCCATCCTCCATCGCTCCCAGCACTGTCTTAGCCAATGTCTTCCCACCCCATACAAGGTGCCCACTGCCTCCCCCTGCCCCAATCCTCATGGGCCAACCCATTGCACTGCCAACCCCAAGCAGGGGCTCAGAGGTGTGGTCTCCGCATCTCCCATGGGGATGCAGCATGACCTATGTTGGTCTTTGAAGGGTTGCTTGGCCACTGTCCCACCTCACCACGTCCCCAGGAGCTTTGTGTCAGCAGATGCACAGGAAACACCTTTTTCCTACCCAAGGCCAGCTCAGCTGGGGGGGGCTCTGGGCTGGAAGCACACTGCTCCCCCTGTCACACAGGACTTAACTCCTTTGTGCCCAATACTGCAGCACTGTGCCTCCAGAGCCCACTCCCTATCAAAGCTGACCCACCAAAAGGGGCTTTGGGGGCTGACAGAGCACAGCCATCAGTGCGGGAAAGGTGGTGGCTATGCTAGAGAGCCATGAGTAAAGCCTGGCAGCACCATCCAACCCTTCCCAAGCAAGGAGAGAGTGAAGCCTGCAAGAAGTAACCGCAGAGGAGAAACAAGAGATTGTTTTATTTCCAACTCCAATTTTAAAGCTAGAAAGTACCTGACCCAAGGGGACTGACTTGCTCCCATAAACACAGGGATTGTTCCAGTTTTCCAGTTCCCAGTAGTAGCAGGAAGAGGTCCCAATACAAAATTATTCACCCCATACCTGAGAAGCACAGAGGTGGCACTGGTGGTGCTAATCCTGACAGCTCCCAGCCACAGGAGCACCCTGACACCCAGTGCTGCATGCTCAGCCCCTCCCAGCCGTGTGGTGACCCTGGGACACCTCAACTGGACCTTCACATTGCAGGGATTGGGGAGGTATCAACAGAAAGGGTGAAGTGAAACATCCCCACAGAGCAGGACTGGTCTGTGAGCAGAGGTGTTAAGCAGAACGAGCCACCTGTGGATGGGAAAAGCCTCTTTGGGGTGCAGAGTGGGAAGAGGGTGCAGACCCCTATTGTACTGAGCTGTAAGCAGGGAGAAGTGGGGAGAGGGGGCATAGCTGTGCAGAACCCCTTGTAGTTAAGCCATGGACACAGATGCCTGGAGGTGCTGAGCTGTCCTGTGCCAGGTAGGCACACCACATCCAAGTGTCCCAGTGGGTTTCCAGGAATCTGCCCATGCTGCAGCTTCGCCGTGACCACGGCACAGGGAAGTGGCCAGAGCTGCTGTGCCACTCTCGAGGATGCCAGAAGAAGACGAGCTGGGAAGTGCTGCTGTGTGGTCAGATCCAGCTCCTGTTCAGGTGGGGTCAGAGGGCTGGTGTGGCTCTGTCAGGGGAGCTGGGCCTTGGCTTGCTCTCTCCCTCTGGCTCCAGCTGTGTCTCCAGTGAGTCGATGATTTCCCAGGCTCCAGAGCAGCTGGACGTGGGGGTGTCTTTGCTGCTGCCCTGATACCACAGCCCAAAACTGCAAAGAGAGCAGATAACAGCTGTGGGTGGGGGTAACCCTTCCCAGGGAAGCTGTCATATCCTAACCTCTGTGTTTGGTGGCAGCAGCAGGACACAGCCTGGCTGTGGACCCCTGGGAGTGTGTGGCACCACTAGGGCAGCAGCAAGACTTGCCCCACCCCTGCCCAGGACAAGGCAAGTCACCTCTAAACCAACACCCCCTGCTTTGGCAGCATCCCTGCCAGCCCTGCACTGGGCAGCCCAACTCCCTTCCCATCACACCCAAGCTCAACAGGCACTGGGTCCCAACTGAGCCCCAAACCTCTGTGCCTGTCCTCACCAGCACCCCAACACAGGAGCAAACTTACAAGCTCCTAATTTTGGATTCAGGAGGCTGAGCATCCACACAGTCTGTGCCATGAGCTGGGAGCCAGGAGCCCTCATCTTCATCACTGCAGCACAAAGAAATGGGGGAAAAACCTGCGCTGAGGCATAGGCTCATCACAGCAGGGAGTGCTGGAGTTGTACAGCCCATGCAGCCCAGGGAACAGCCTGCCCTGTCCAGTGCTCCCAGTGCCAGCACATCTCCTCCCTTTTGTCATGCAGAAGGGATAAATGGCATTTAGCCAGGCCATGTGTGAGTAGTGACAGGGACACATGAGTAGCAGCAAAGAGCCCAGCCCAGCAGCACAGCCAGGGCTACGCCAGAATAAGACATCAACCGCAGACCTTAAACCTTTGATCTCTCGCCCAGCAGCACAGCCAGGGCTATGCCAGAATAAGACATCAACTGCAGACCTTAAACCTTTGATCTCCGGAGGGAGGAGGCAGCTCTGGGCCTGGGGGAGTTCCTTTCCAGGGCATCACACCACATGGAAACACTGGAGCCTGCCAGTCAGCACCCACCCTGCATGGGAGGCTCCCCTCCACCAGACTCACCTGCTTGCCGACTCCTCCGCCGTTCCCAGCATTTTGGCTCTGATTTTTTTCCTCTGTTTTTTGATATTTGACTTCATTGCATCCAAGAAGAAGCTGGGAATTCTCTCCTCATTCAGCAGCTCCCTGGCAAAAGGCAGCCAGCTGGTTAACCAACAGCCTGGGAAAGACTGCCCTGACTGGGCCACCAGCAGCCTCTGATGAGCCACAGGTGGCTGCAGGGGCAGGAGGGACCCAGCTCAGTGCCCCACGCTGCTGTGGCAGGACTCACCGCTGGTAATAGGCCAGTTCCTCCTGCACCAAGAACAGGTTAGTCTTGAGCTCATTCCGCTCTTGTAGGATCTGCTGCAGCTCTTCCTTGGAGAAGCAGCAGTGAGCAGGGTTCCCATCTGCATCCTGGTGCTGTGGCTCCACCATGGGTGATGGTCCTCCTTCCTGGGGGGGATGGAAAGACAGTCAGCAGGCAAGCAGAGACTCCAAAACCCTCACCCAAATGCTGGGTGCCACATGCAGCCAGAGATGGAAAAACCTCAAGAATGAGTTTCCTAGTCTGGAGCTGCTGCAGTCCTCCACAGATCACAGTGGCTCCCCAGCTCAGCCAGCACCTGCTGCCCATCACCACGTGTGGCAAACCCTTCTCATCCTCCAAGTCCCACCTGGTTTTTCATCACCTCACCTTGCTCCACCCCTACCAGTTTTCACAGACAAGGCCTTACGGGCATTGCAGACTGTTTAATTTTCAGCTCTGGGGTTTACTTGAGCAGCACATCCTGCTGGCAGCCAGTGAGTCCAGGCATGCCAAAAGCTCCACTTAGGGCTGGCAATGTCAGGTTGCTGCCACAGGCTCAGACTCACCAGGCTGGGCTCTGGCCTCTGGCTCTCTGGGGCTGTCCTGCTTCTCCTACTCATTTCCCTCTGGATTTGCAGCATTTCAGCTTCCAGGTCTGACTTCTGCTCCAGTGCACTCTTGAGCTGAGCCTGCACCACGGCTACCTTGTGCCGCAGGTCCTCGTTCATGGACATGAAGCGATGCAGCTGTTCCTGCAGCTGGAGGGCCCAGGGCAGCCAAAGGTGAGGCTGTGTCCCCACCCAGGGACATCAGAGCCACTGGGCAAGGCATCTGCCCCAGCAGGCTCATCAGCCTGACAGCCCCAGGGGGACGTGACATGAAAGCAGGTCCCCAGGCCCTTGGCACACCACACCCGTGAGCTCCCACACCCTCACCGCCTCCGTGTCTCGGCTCTTGCAGACGATCTCGTGGGCCTGGGCACGAAGTTCATCCCTCTGTTTGTCCACCACTTCCTTCAGCCGCAGCATCACCTCCCGTTCCTTCCGCACTGTGCTGTCTGAGCCCAGACACGAGCAGATTGGTGTGAGCAGCCCCCAGAAACCAAGGACTCCCCAACCCCACAACACTACGAGGATCCTCAGTGCCTCTGCAAAGTCAGACTCTAATGTTCCTGGTAGATCTCAGAGTAGGAACAGTGGAAAAGGGAGAACTAAGAGCTTTAGGCCATTCCCAACACATCCTTGTGCTGGCCCAGCAGCTCACACCCTGTGCCTGCCTCCACCACCTTCCTTGAGGGGTGCTCTGGGAGTTTGGGGTCACTGTGGTTTGCAGAACAAGTAATGCTCGTGCTCCCTGGCAGGACAGGTCTCCAGGAGAGCAGGTTCAGCTCTGCACCCAGCCTGCCATCCCATAGCATCAGGGCCCCCAAACCCACTGGGACACGCACCTTCCTGGGACTGGCTCTCCGCAAGCTGCCCCAGGAGCTGCCGGTTCTGCTCCTCCAGGCAGGCCAGACGGCCGTGCAGGGCTCGCTCCCGGCCCCCAGCCTCTGCTCCGGTTCCTGGGGACAGCGACAGCCGCGTCAGAGCTGTCCCAGGGGATGGGGAACAGCCGCGTCAGAGCTATCCCAGGGGACAGAGACAGCCAGATCAGAGCCTTCCCAAGGGATGGGAGACAGCTGAGTCAGAGACACCACTTCGGGAAATGGGTACAGCTGGATCAGAGCCACCCTAGGTGGGACAACTGGGTCAGACAGGTCGACGTCATCCCAGGGGATGGGAGACAGCCAGATCAGCCCCATCCCACGGCTTAGAGAGTTAGATCAGCCCTATCCCAGGCCATGGAGAGAGCCAGGTCAGAGCCATCCCATAGCTTGAAGAGAGCCAGGTCAGAGCCATCCCAGGCCATGGAGAGAGCCAGGTCGGAGCCATCCCATAGCTTGAAGAGAGCCACAGCCCCACCCCAGGGTCGAGGGGCAGTCGGGTCAAGGCTGTCCCCATGGGGACCTGGACACGCGGGTCGTGCCCCGCGGCAGGTCCCTCCCCCGCT